GCACATCCAAACACAACTCCTAAGTCATGGACGCCTGTGGCAATAACAGAGCTGTATGCATTTTTTGGCATACTTATTATGACTGGTGCGAACCATAGCAATGGAGAACATGTTCGAGATTTATGGAGCGTCAAAAACTATCCTTTATATCGCGCCACAATGGGAGTCAACCGTTTCTGTTCGATATTGCGGTTCCTACGATAAAAACACTCGTGCAACACGCTTACTAACTGATAAAGCAGCACCGATCAGTGAGTTGTGGACGATGATGAACAATAATCTTGCTGCACATTACAAGCCCAGCTCATGCTTGACGATTGATGAACAATTATTTCCTTACCGTGGACGCACACGGTTTACGCAGTACATACCGTCAAAACCTGCTAAATATGGTATCAAGGTTTGGTGGATTTGCGATGCCACAAATGCATATCCACTGCATGGACAAATATATACTGGCCAAGCAGAAACTGGTAGGGAAACGAACCAAGGCGAACGAGTGGTGAAGGATTTGTCTGCCAAATACCAAGGAAGTGGCCGAAACATTACAATGGACAATTTGTTTACGACCTTGCCAGTTGCAGAACTGCTTCTCACCTGGAAACTCACGATCGTTGGAACTTTGCGCAAAAACAAATCATATATTCCTCAAGAAATGAAGCAGAACAAAAACAGGACAATTGGTTCAACGACATTTGGCTTCAAAAATAATGTGACAATGTGCTCTTATGTTCCCAAAAAAAATAAAGCAGTAATTTTGCTTTCGACCATGCATAATGATGCTGAAATAGCTGACAGTGGGAAACCTGAAATAATTGAATATTATAATCGTACCAAAGGTGGTGTTGATCGAATGGACCAAATGTTTGCGGAATATCCAACACAAAGACAAACAAAACGATGGCCACTAGCGATGTTCTTCAACATGTTGGACATTACAGCTCTTGCAGCCTACATTATCTACGATTTGAATAACCCTATGTCGCCTTGGAGAACAAACAACAAGCGTAAGCAGATCCTGCGCAGCTTGGCTGAAGCATTGTGTATGCCCATTATTGAAGCCAGAGCCATAAATCGTCAAGTGACGCGAAATTTTTCGACTAAAATTGCTATTGAAGCATATTTCAACCGACCGGTGGAATCAATGGTGTCAACAGCAGCATCAACATCTGCCGCAGCGCGCACGCCAAAACCTGTGTCCGGATCTTGCTATTTATGTTACGCACAAGAGGAAAAACGCCGTAGAAAAACCAGAAAGCTGTGCGACAAATGTAAGAAGCCAATGTGTCTTGAACATTCGGTCACATCAACAAATTGCTCTATTTGCCATGATTTTCCTTAGATATAAGATGCATTTTTATAATTTTTATAATAAAAGTCAATAATATAATGTGTGAAATGAATATTTTTAATTTTTCAAATAAAAAAATAATATAAAAAATGTTTTTTTTTATTATTATGAGGATTTTTACTATTGGGGTACAAACGTATCCCGGGTGTGTGTTTACGTATATAATGTGTTTGGAAGGCTGTAGCTCCTGAACCAATCGTCCGATCTGGTTCAAATTTTGAATTTGAACTCAAAACTAAATAATCTTCCTAGATCCGAAGTTAGCGGTATAGAGGTATAGCGGTTCAAAAGTTACAACACTTCAAAGTTGAAAGTGGATACATTTGTACCCGGGTGTGTGTTCTAGGGTTAAATGCTCTACAAAAGTGCCCACTGCGGCGAAGTCGTAACTTACACCGGCGAGGTAGTACGGGCCACTAAACCTGATTTTTTCATGAAATTTACGTTTTCTCTCATTTATCTCGTAAATGACAAGAGCTATAGAAAAAATGTAAATGAGAAACTTGTAGGAAATTTTATTTCCTAAAAATAAAATAAAAAATAATGTAGAGCATTTAATGCTGAGAAAATCCCCATTTTGGACAAGGTGATACCATTAAATGCCGCTGAGCTATAGAAATTAAAAAAAAAAAATCAAAGTTCCCGTGTATTTTAAATGGAAAATCTTCACACGCCTTGGCCGAGTACTTAAAATTAATATTAAGGGCTCAAACTTTCAGGGAATTTTTTTTTGGGTATTTCCAACAAAATTTCACGATGGGACCGAAAAAAAAAATAGTCGCAAAAAAAAAGCACCCTAATGTGTGTGTGTATGTGGGTGTAATCACCCTGCGGGAAATGTATCTAACTATAAGTTAATTTAAATTTGATTAGGAAGGAAGTCAAGGTCACTATTATCTGTATATTTTCTTTGAGGAAAGCTAACTAAATTTCTATGGCGATGGTCGCGAAATAGTCAAGGGTGGTTACCTCTGTATTTGATGTAACTAACTTGCAACTAACTATTTTTGAACATAATATATCAATAGGAAAAACAAAATATTTTTTTTTGTTTTTTGCTTTTTTATTCTTTTATTTATTTATTTTATTTTATTACATTTCATATACTTATATTTACATATTCTGCTGTAAGTGGTCCCATATTCGAACTCCGTCAGACAAACTTCAAAATGATAATATGAAATTTCGATCTTCCTTTTATTTGTGCTCAATTCGAAGAACAATTTGTGAAGTGCAGGATATTTAAATAGAAACGCGTTTAAAGAAAACAATCTCCTTCATTACTCATACATTACTTGTCAACTAGTTTCAAGTTACCTTTATGTAGCTAACTACAAGTTGTATATTTTATAGAAATCCGGCAAAAAAACTTACTATAAGTGGGTTATTTTTTAACAATTGATGACTTTTTTCTGCAGGGTACGCTATGAAGTTAATTGCATTAGTGTGCAATGGGCATAACAATATTCATTCACAGTGGGTGGTTTGCAATTTGGTGTGTAAATGTAGATAGTCTGTGTGACAAGCGGAGGACGCTTTGTACCTTTAACGCTAATGACATTGACGACGACGACGATGAATTAACGAAAATCGCATTTTACCACCTGAAATGGGTCTGTAAATGAGATTTCAAACGGAAGCCACTGACGATAACAATAGCATTCGACCGAGAGAGAAGCAAATAAAAAGCTAGTTAGGTGCTTGGCTGGTTCGTTGGTTAGTTACCGATGCACTGTCCGATGCAATGGGTGAACGGCCAAATTTCAGCTGCTGCGTTGACATTGACTGCTCTCCAGTCTGCCAGTCTGTTTGTCTGTCTGTGCATACAGAAGCCACGCGGTTTTCCTTTGGAACCACTCGGTTTTGCGACAAAGGCGCTGGTGGGGTCTTCAGGTAAATCAAACGCCACACTAATCCTATAAATATTGATGGCGCTTTAAAGTGTCAACGTATTGAAAAGGTTTTTAGATGAATGGAAAAAAGGTGTATTAATGAAATTCAATATAAAAACTGACTCACATATTAAAATACATACATTTTAAATCCAGTGTGTATTTATTATGCAATTTAATAGTAACAGCATATACATATATGTATATGTAAATACACTGTCAATCAAAAGTGAGTGCATGGTGTTTTTTGTTTAATATTTACAATGTTTTTGAAGTTACAATTTTTTTTGTTATTTTTTATAAAAACATGGTTCATGCTTTAATCAAAACCACGTTAGTCAAACTTTCAAACTTAATACAGAACCTAGAAAAATTCAACAAACTTTCGTCTAAATGTTTAACTTTTTAATCTGAATTTTTAATATAATTTTGGGTACGCAGATAGATCGGCTATGTAATTTTAGTGAAATAAGTGCAAGTTTTAAGCGGCTGAAAGATCGCGTTGATTTTTGATGATTTTTTATTGCTGACGGGTTTTTGCACTTTTTACCATAAAGGTAAAATGCGCAACAAAATTAACGCTATATTTTATAAATTGCTCTTTTTATAAGCATAAAACCGCACTAGAATTACATAGCCGATCTATCTTCGTACCCAAAATTATTTTAAAAATTCAGATTAAAAAGTTAAACATTTAGATGAAAATTTGTTGAATTTTTCTAAGTTCTGTATTAAGTTTGAATGTTTGACTAATGTGGTTTTGATTAAAGCATGAACCATGTTTTTATAAAAAATAACAAAAAAAATTGTAACTTCAAAAACATTGCAAATATTAAACAAAAACACCATGCACTCACTTTTGATTGACAGTGTACATACGCACTTAAAATACATTTGTATAACTATGCGAACGTATGTATATGTACAATACGTGACCAATTAATTACGACCAATCACAAAATATTGTATGTATGTAACAAAATTGGGAAACTCAAAACTTTTTTGCAAATTTCTTGTAAAATATTAGTCCTAACCAATTCCATATTGATCGAAATTTCAAACGTTATACGAAATTCGCAAAGATTTTTAAAATTTTCATTCAAATTCTAAACAAAGTTTTTAACCTTAATGTTTAAAAAAGCTTGTTACATATGTACATACAATATTTTTTGTTTGGTCGTAATTGATTAGTCACGTATTGTACTTGTTGTCTTAAAGAATACAGTACATTTTATTATAATAAAAAATAGTTACATACTTTATGTAAGTTTACATTTTGTACTTTTTAAGTCTTTGCGTTGCAGTGGCACATTCAAATGTATACGGTATGGGGTCAAAAAATTACCAACGGGACTCAGATATTTGTATTTCTTTTAATTCTTTTAATATTCTTTTAATATTGCTTAATTTTTTAAGGCTTTAGTGAACTCAATAACATAAAGCATATAAATCAAAGATTCAAACTTTGTGCAAAATTCGTAAAAATTCATCAAATTTAAAGAAATTGGAAAAAAACTTTAAATATTTTTAATTGAATTGTTTAGAAATAATTTTAAGTATACTGTTTTATAGTCCATTCAATTTTAATATAATAAAGTGCCAATTTAAGTCGCTCGAATTTCGCGTTAATTTTTGGGAATTTTTTTCTGAC